ACGTGTCTTTAGAGGGAACCGAACCCAGGTCTCTCTGGACCGCAGGCCGATGCTCTAACCTCTGAGCCAAACCAGCCAGGGCTTTCCTTTTATTCTTATATTCTTAAACTTGGAGAGGAAGACATTTCAAAGCAAGACAGAAAACCTAGGAACCACAAGGCCAAAGAAAGACATGGCTGACTTCACAAGAATTAAGAAAACATTGTTTTTGAATGGATGGCAAAATACTATACAGAATGTAACATTAAGAAGAAAAATATCTGCAACCCATTTAGTATCCCTAACATATCAATAAGAGAAAATAATTTAATAAAAAATGAGCAATGGATTTAAACAGGTAATTTTTAAAAGAGCAAATCTACGCCCAGCTGGTATGGCTCAGTGGATTGAGCATCGTCCCATGGACTCAGAGATCCCTGTTTGATTCCCTGTCAGGGCACATGCCCAGGTTGCAGGCTTGATCCCCAGCAGGGAGCGTGCAGAAGGCAGCCGATTGATGTTTCTCTCTCACATTGATGTTTCTTTCTCTCCCTTCCTCTCTCTCTAAAAATCAATAAAAACGTATTTAAAAAAAAGAGGAAATCTAAATAATCAATAAATAATAAAGATAAAAAGAGATACTCAAATGTGCAAATTAAAATAATAAAATATCATTTTCTATCTAATATACTTGCCAAAATGATAAATACCAATACTATTCATGGCAGACAACGATGCAGGAATAAATGAGTATAAAAGGCGGTAATATTTTTGGAATATAGTTTGGCAATGTCTACTGAAATTTAAAATACACAACCCTATTTTTGGAAACCTACCCCATGGAAATAAAAGCATCATATACACAGAAGAATGTTTCAGTACTGCCTGCAGTATGAAAAGCCAGAAACAATTTCAATGTCTATCAATAGGTGAATAATTAAGTAACAATAGAGGATATAACGAGATTTTATTCAGCCATTAAAAATAATAAGATAAAATCTATATCTATTGATCTGGAGCGATGCCCCTGATATCTTTTTAAGTGAAAAAAGCAAAAACAAAACAAAACAAAAAAGTAACCCTATAGTATATGTTTGTAGGAACAGGGAGAAAGAGAAAAGGGGTTTGTTTGGAGATGATGACAAGAGAAGAGATTTTAATTTTTCATACACTTAAAAAAGTTACATAATATTTAAAAATATATTATGTATGCCCATGTAATTAAAAATTAACAAAGGAAATTTAAAGAAGGAAGAAAAGGAATCTACCTCAGACACATCAATACATTTCATTTGATGTGTTGTGGACTGAAAAGTTCATGGCTTGTCTCTATTGATTATCTTTCCTCCTCTATAAGGTCAGGAGAAAGAAAGTAGGGTGGGCTGGAATGGGGGGGAAGCTGGGAGCCACAGGTGTATCAGCCCAAGGGCTGGGAGAGGGAGAGGGAGAGAGACGGAGGAACAGGGGCTGGGGGTGGGGTGGGGAAGAGGGTCAGAGAGAATGCACTGGTGTCAGGATCAGCTTCTGTGCCAGGGAGCAGGATTGGGGGCAGAACGGGGATGCTGGCCCTAAGGTCCCTGCAGGCATGAGAATCTCCTCGCGAGAATGGGGTGATTTTAACATTATTTGAGCATTTCCTGGGGCTGTCCAACAGACCGCTGGCCTCGAGGAGCCTGCAGACCCTAATGAAACCCCTCCACAGGTCTTTCAAATATCCTGGAGCAGGTGGGTGGTTCATCAATTCATCTACTAAGCATCTATCCCGAGCCTCTCCCAGGCTACATGCTGAGAAATTGGCCCGTCAGGAGAGCCATGTCCCTGTCCACGTGCAGCTTGCAGCGTGCTGGGGGGACCACACCCCATGCTGGTCACTATTTCCACCTGGCCTCAGCTCAGGTTGGGTGGAATGAGGTGTTATGAGCCACAGGCTTACCAGACAGGCTTTGCCCTGGATCATGCCCTGGGCACTGCTGATGGTGGGGCCGGATGGGGAGAGACACTCCTCTGTGGAAAAACACCACTGGGTCCCCAGTGGGCAGTGGTCTGGGAAGGCCTGGGGACGTGCCTGTGCCCACTCCCCAGGCTGCTTGTGGGGCTGTCTGCTGCCAGGAGCCCGGCAGCTTAGCGAAACCAGCCCGAGAAGGAATCCAGACGGAGGCAGCCGCCCCTGGCACCTTGGGGGCTTCCTAGAGGCAGACATGGCTGAGTCCTCCCAGGGGCTGCACCAGACTTGACCTTGAAGCCACGTGAACCAGGACGCCACAGAAGGGCTAGCTTGGGGCTGCCTCCTAGAGGGTCCCCCTCTTGCCCTGACTCAGGACCAGCTGTTAGAATGTAAGTGGCCCAGGCCTACAGGCTCCCACAGTACCTGGGAGCCACCGAGAGCCCCTGCGAGTGCACAGCTCTCCCAAGTCAATCAGAAAGCACAGGTCCTGCCCTGGCTGGTTTGGCTCATGGACTGAAGGGTCTTGAGTTCAATTCCAGGTCAAGGGCACATACCTGGGTTGTAGGTTTGATCCCTGGCCCTGGTTGGGGTCGTGCAGGAGGCAACCAACTGATTGTCTCTCTCACATCAATGTCTGTCTGTCTGTCTGTCTGTCTGTCTCTCTCCCCCCCTTCCTCCCTTCCTCCCTTCCAGTTTATCTAAAAAATCAATGGAAAATTATCCTCAGGTGAGGATTAACAAACAAACAAACAAAAAGGCACAGATCCTGGCTTCTGCACAGGCTCATCGGAGAGGACAAGCGCAGCACCCAGGGTCGGGCTGAGAGCAGCTCAGGGACAGCTGGCCTGCTGGTGGCTCTCTAGCACCCTCCCTGCAAACGCCGGACACTTGGCTTCCATGGCACTGAACCGCTCTGCTCTCCTCCTTTGCCTCCTCCACCAGCTCCTGTTCTTCCCTCTCCCCGACTGTGGGTTTCTCCAAGTCCAGTCCCTCCCGCCACATGTACCCCAGACATCTCCTGGGCCTCCACAACCTGCCCAGGGCCATCAGCCCTCACCGTCCTGCTGTCCCTGCACGAGACACATAGGTCACCTACCAAGCAGAAGGGCGACCTCTTGCTGCTCAGCACTAACAGGGTCATCGCAGGGCTGCGAGGTGCCTGGCCGGGGCCCGGCCTGAGGAAGCGCAGCCTTTGCTCTGAGAGGCTGGCGGGCCTCCAGCCTGGTCTGCAGAGGGGCAGCCACATGGCCTGGCCTCAGCGCAAACTTGGTTAACAAGCGGTGCCCACTTGGAGTGAATGGGCCACTGGCTTCCTCACTCACGTAATTAAAAGGCCATCTGTGCCTGTGTGGCTGAGGAGACAGAGTGTTTGTGTGCACGTGTGCGTGTGCTTGTGCATGAGTGTGTGTGCGCGCGTGCGCGTGTGTGAGTATACGTGTGTGCGCGTGTATATGTGCATGTGTGTGTGTGCATGTGTGCGCGCGCACAAGCGTGTGCATGCGTGTGTGTGTGTGTGCCATCGTGGGGCTGGAGCAGACTGGGCAGTGAAGGCCTCTCTGGGTGGGGGCCTCAGGGCCTCCTCTCAACCCACCTGAAGCAACACTTTAAACCTGAGAGTGTCCCAGCTTCTGTTTTCACGGCTGTGTCTCTCCCCTCAGTCTGAGGGACACTGACTCACCCTGACACGGCTGGAACCAGAGAAAGCCCCAGCTCTGCGGGGGGGAAACAGGAAAGAAGGGAAGAGGGAGCCATTTCTCCCACAAATTCCCCCAGGCGCCGTCCAAGGCTGGCCAGCCACAGCGCCCCCCTCAGGCCGGTCCCTGCAGAGCCTGCCCCCCTCACGCCACCTGCTCAGTCTCCACCCGCAAGAGGTCGCTGCATGGGCTCGGCTGTGGCAGTGCGGCAGAGTGGACAGCTCACGGGCATGGGCAGTGCCCACAGTCCCCGGGGCCAGCGAGGGAGCCCGCTGCAGGAGAGCCAGAGAGGCGAGGAAGAGGTGTCTGGAGAACCGGCCGGGCTGTTAGTTGCCGGTTATGTTTGGAAGGGCCGACCTATAGGGAATTTTTACCTGCTAAGTGGTATCTTTTGCTAAACTTCACAATTTTATAATAAACACACCACACTTTTGTAACAACAACAACAACAAAGAGGCCAAAAGGTATGAAGATAATCAGCTGCCAGGTCATAGTCCAAAGGCAGACGCTCGCGGGCCCCTCGGAAGCAGCTGCGTGTCTATTTTCTTGGGTCTAGAAACCAGGAAAACCTCTGGCACCAGGATGAGCTCCTTGTCTCTCTGGCCTTATCTCATTCGGGGTCCTCAGTCCCTGAGTCTTGGGCTGAAACTCAGGCACTTTGTGGCAGAAGGAGCCAGAGCCTAGAGGGCAGGACCCTGCCGTTTGGTCCCAGCTCTGCCATCCACCAGTAAGACCTTCCTTTCTCTGGGCCTCAGGCTACTCAGCTATAAAATGGGGCTACTCAATACCCACCCTGTCTACTTGTGGAGCCTGTTGTGAGACCAAGACCTTTGCAAATAAATCTGTGCAGACACCTGCCATGCCAGGTCCTCTTCTAATTACCCTTGGGGTGGAGCTCCCCTTGTGATGCTGGCCACCTGGAAGCACCCACATCAGTGCAGCCACCACAAAAACCAAGGCGCCCCGGGCACAAGGTCACTCTTCTCATTAGGACCAGGGAAGCCAAGAGTGCCCCCTTATTGAGACACAAGACAAGGGCAGAGAAGAGATGGTACGGGCCTGCTTTGGAAAGATACATGTTCATACTTCGCAAAAAACCTCAACTGACATCACATTTCTGCAAAGATCCATAGTGCTGTTCACGGCATCGCCCCCCAACCAGTGCTTGTTTGTGAAATGGCCCATCAGGTTGCAAGCAATCACTGTGCTGAGGTCCAGCCACCCACGTGGGTGCAGGCGGGGAGTCAAGGGCACAGAGAGGGATGGAATACCAGTATGAGCCATGTGGAGAATGTGGCAGGCACTGGCCTGGTGCCTGTGGCACTGACTGGTGGTGGCCCGAACGTCAGCTGCTATCCGGGGCAGGGGGCAAGGGGACTCACCTCTCCCACGGGCCCACGTGTAGACTCGACTGGTCTCAGTGCTTCTGGGAGCTTGCTCAGTTGGCTCCACAGGCAAAGGTCGTAAGTGGGGGTCATCAGCCCGGCCAGGGGTCTTCAAGGGCAGGATGTACTTGGGGAGCCCTTTGTAGAACCAGGCCCCCGACCTCTTCCAGACCTGAGGGAGGAGACACCTGCTTAGAGCACTGGATGCAGGGAAGCCCCCTGTACCATGCTCCCACCAGGTCCACCCTCCCCTCCTGGTGCCAAGTTGGAAAGTGCTCAACAGACGCCACCTTCGCTCCTCCTGCACCCCTGCCCCTGGAGACTGGAGGCTGCAGGCAGAGGCGGGCGGGGCCCCGCACGGTACTGGGCACTGGAAGCCATCTGGGGAGCAACTGGAGATGAGGTCCTGTGCAGCGGGCACAGGAGGGCCCGGATCTCAGAGAGCCACGGAGTAGAATTCGGAGCAGCCACTGAGATAAGGCCCCTGAACTCAATGCCCCCTTCAAACAACACCCAGGGCTCCCTAATCCCTTTTCTGCTGAAGGAAATACACTTGTGGCCTTAGTGAGAGGGGAATGTGGGAAGGAATGCTGTGACTTTTTCAGGCAAGAGGAAGCCTCGGCAGTTTGAGGCCTGGATCTGCCAGCCAGCAGCTGTGAGGTTTGGACACATCCTGACCCTCAGGCCATTACCCGGAGGCGGACGTAGGAACTGTGCCTGTCTCACAGGGTGGCCATGAGGATCAGACTCGTAAATGAACGTAGGTCCATGGCCCAGTGCTGGGCACAGAGCAGCCACTCAGCGGACGGGATGCTCATGATTGTCACTGTCCCCCTCCTCCTATCATCTGACAAATGCAGACCAAGTCCCCTACTTAAAAGGGAGAATTTAAAATCAGAAGGCCGGCCTTGGCCAGTTTGGCTCAGCAGTTAGAGCATCAGCCCGTGGACCAGAGAGTCCCGGGTTCTGTTCCCGCTAAGGGCACGTATCTCGGTTGCGGTTCGTCCCTGGCCCCGGCTGGGGTTGTGTGGGTGGCAACCACTCGATGTGTCTCTCTCACATTGATGTCTCTGTCTCTCTCTGTCTCTCTCTGTCTCTCTCTCTTCCTCCCATTTTCCCTCCCACTCTGAGGATAAATGCAAAAATGTCCTTGGGTGAGGATAAAAAAATAAAATAAAATAAAATACAAACAGAAGGCCAGAGTGTCCCCAAAATTTCTCTGCGTCATGTTAGTTCTGTGGGCTGTTAACAGGGGACACTCAAAAACAAAACAAACAAGAAGCAAAGGGTTCCTGATGACGCACACTGTGAAGCACTAGGTTAAACCAACTTCTGTTACAGCGGGAATTCTCAGAGCCTTTAATATGCTAATGTGCACAGGGTTCTCCAACAGGGCAAAAGAACACACAGTGTTTCCCACTTGGAACTGACCCGGCAAGCTTTCCTAGAGAAACTCAACCCAGGTGATGGGTCTGCGTAAACTCAGCACTCAGCATTGACTGTTTACTTGTTGAGTGATGGGCATCTATTTCTCCAAGTGGCCAGCAGTCACCTCTTTATGCTCCAGAGTGCTGGGTACAGGACCAACGTCCAAAGCCTGTCCCTAGCACAAATCACGCATCCTACCCTCCCAGCTACCCTCTGCAGAACAGCCTGCTTTTGTGGGGCTCCTGAATAACAGAACCTGTCTGGTGGGATGCATGCTTCGTGGAACCCGTTTCGGAACACCCTTTCTGATCCCCTCACAGCCCTCTTACAGTACACATGCACATGATATAAAATCCACAAAGCACACAATTAAAAAGTCTCCTCTCTTCTAATGTTTCCAGATCTTAGCTATAGTAAATAGTGCTGCTATGAACATAGGGGTGCCTATATTCTTCCTGATTGGTGTTTCAGGCCTCTTAGGATATATTCCTAGAAGTGGGATCACTGGGTCAAATGGCAATCCCATAGCTCCGGTGCCCATTAGTAGATGAATGGATAGAAAAGTTGCGGTACCTTTACACAATGGAATACTATGCAGCTGTAAAAAAGAAGGATCTTTTATCCTTTGAGACAGCATGGAGGGACCTGGAAAGTACTATGCTAAGTGAAATAAGCTAGTCAGAGAAAGAGAAGTATCACAGGATCTCACTTATATGTGGAATCTAATGAACAAAACAAACTGATGAACAAAACAGATCCAGTGACTTGGAAGCATAGAACAGACTGAGGAATCTCAGAGGGGAGGGGAGTTGGGAAGAGATTAATCAAATAACTTATATGCATATATACAGAACCCATGGAAACAGATAGTAGTATGGTGATGGCCATGGGGTGGTGGGACTGGGGTGGAGGGGGTCCATGGGGGATAAAGGAGGAGACATCTGTAACATTTTCAACAATAAAGATAATTAAAAAAAACTCTCCTCCCCCATCCCAGAGGCACCAGATGATAACAGTTTTTGAGAAAGCTCTATTCTTATTCCCACTTTCCAGATGGAAAACTGAGGCTCTGACAAGTTAAGCAACTTGCCCAAGGCCAACCTACTATTCTGTTGGCCTCTACTCCACACTGGAGGCCATACAGTCTCATCCCAAAAGTTTATAGATACAAAGTAGATGCTCATTAAATTGTGGCTGAATGGTAAGTAAATCTTCAGTGGGCTCTCATCATAGACACTAAGTGTCCTGCAGACTGGACACCTAGAGGGGACGGAAGTGCCAAACAGGGAGATAAAACCAACATAAGTAGCAGTTACCAAGACCACTCTGTCCCCACAGAACTGTTGCATAAATCCTGAGAACAGGTGTCCCAGCAGGGGGCAGTTGGCCTCCCTCTATTAAGGGAAGGCCTGCTCATCCATCAGTGCTGACTGCCTGCCCTCCCCTGAGCACCCCAGCCTCCTGCCCCCCAACATGGGCTGGGCCTCCAGGTGGGGGGACCAAATGAAGCAAGCCCTTGAACGCCATGTGAATAGTGGGGCCTGGGTTGGCTTAGGACCCGCACCACACTGCCTCGCCCACCCCTGCTATGGAAACTGCTTTGTCTTTTTTTTTTTTTTCCCTTGAGAAGAGAAATACATACATAAACTACAAAATTAGAACAATAACAAAAAAGTAAAATGAAGAAACTTCAGGGGGAGAACAGAGATGGTGGCGGAGTGAATGGAAGCTACACAGACCGTCTCCCAGGACCAAACTGGAATTACAACTAAAATAAAGACAAATCATTAGGAAAAACCAACTGAAGGGTAGCTGGAAGAGAGCCAGTACAACAGGGACAGAAAGATAATGCCAAATTGAGCCCGATAGGAACTGCGGAGGTGTGTGGGGGTGGGCTGGGAGTTCACGGACAGCGACGAGAGCCCTATTAGCGGTATGCACTTCCCGCTGAGAAAGTGGGTTTTTTAAAAAGCACCAAATGAGCTATAGCCACTCACCTTGGGCTCTGGCAGAGGAAGGGTGGACAGGACTGGAACTGTGTAAAGAGTCCGAGGCTCCTGGCTCAGGAGAGAGCTGAGAGCTGGATGGGAGGGCACCAGGAGTCTTGTACTGAATCACTCCCTCACAGGACAGTAGACATATTACCCAAAGAGCTCCTTCCCAAAGCCCTGGGGAGAAGCAACGGCCCCCCTACAGGAATTCAACACCACCAGGTCAGGCCACAGAAATGCAAATTGAGGCTTATTAACATGTAAAGTCTGATAGTGAGCAAGTGCTCCACCCGCTGGAAATCCTCTTACACCTGAGGGATTTTTCATTCAGCTGATGGCTACAAATCAAGGCTCATCAAGTAACTGAAACTAATAACCTCCATGCAAAAAGCTAACAGATAACTGAATCTTTCCTTGGCTTGCAAATCTACACAGGAAAGTAAGACTTAACATGGGTCCTCCCACACTTATCCGCCACAATCGGCGGAACACCAACACCCACAGGGAAAATTTGGCAGGCTCTAAAACCCATGGAGACAGCCAAAATGGTGATAAAAAGAAACAAATCCCAAATGAAAGAACAAGATAATTTGACAGGAGAAGAAATAAATAAAATGGAATTGAGCAAGATATCAGAGGGAGAGTTCAGAATAACATTCATGAGGGAGCTTAATAGCATAGGTAAAGATATAGAAGCATTGAAAACCAACCACTTGGAAATGAAGAATGACATAGCAAAAATAAAGAACACATTGGAAGAAATAACCAGCAGAACAGAGGAAGCCAAGGACCAGATCAGTGAATTAGAACACAGGGTAGAAAAAAATCACCCAATCAGAAAACCAAAAAGAAAAACAATTAAAAAACAGGAAGATAGCCCAAGAGAATTGTGGGACAATATGAAACATAACAACATCAGCATCATAGATGTGCCAGAAGAAAAAGACAATGAGCAAGGGTTAGAGAATGTATTTGAAGAAATAGAGACAGAAAACTTCCCTAGCTTGGTGAAGGAAAAAGGCATACAAGTTCAAGAAGCACAGAGAGCCCCAAGTAAGAAGAAGCTAAAGAGGCCCATACCAAGACACATAATAATTAAAATGCCAAAAATGAAAGACAAAGAGAATCCTAAAGGCAGGAAGAGATAAGCAACAGGTTACCTACAAAGGAACCCCCATAGGCTATCAGCTGACTTCTCAGAAACACTACAGGCCAGAAGGGAATGGAATGAAGTAATCAAGGTAATGAAAAACAAGGATCTGAACCCAAGACTACTCTATCCAGCAAGTCTATCATTCAAAATAGAAGGTCGAATAAAGAGCTTCCCAGACAAAAAAAGGCTAAGGGAATATATTAACACCAAACCAGCACTGCAAGAAATGCTAAAAGGACTGCTGTAATTAGTAGAAGAAATAGGAAGAAAAATATAATCACAATAAACAAAAATAGTAGTAAGTAAATATCAATAATAACCTTAAAGCCCTGGCCGGTTTGGTTCAGCAGTTAGAGCGTCAGCCTGTGGTCCAGAGAGACCCAGGTTCGGTTCCCGCTAAAGGCATGTACTTTGGTTGCAGTTTGTCCCCGGCCCTGGTTGGGCCCTGCAGGAGGCAGCCACTCGATGTGTCCCTTTCACGTCAATGTTTCTCTCTCTCTCTCCTTCCCACTCTATCTGAACAAAAATGGAAGAATGTCCTCGGGTGAGGATAAAAATAATAATAATAATAATAACCTTAAATGTAAATAGATTAAATGC